ACATTTTCTGCCTTTGAGACTTGCTATTTAGAAAGAAAAACAAAGTTACGTGGTGCCCTTGAATTGCTTATTTAACTGTCTTTCTTCTGCTACTATGGAATTGTATCCGAGAATTACTTCCTTGTATTTCAAGTAAACTTTGAATGGTAATTTGATCTCCTTTGTAGGAATTTTTTTTCACCTTCACCTCAGCTTCACACTTCATGGACTGTATGATCTTTATTTGAAGAGGAAACATTTTCTATAGGTTAGAGGCTGGCAACACAACTAATAACCCTTTTAAAAAAAAACAGTTAAAATGGGCCACGGCATGAAAGAATAACCCTGCGTTGAAATCACACTGGGTTTCAAGGATACTGATATCAAGACATCACATTCTTTCCATTTTTTTCAAACAAAACACGGCGTTGTATTAGACACTTTTCTTCAATATATTTTGTAGAATTTTGTACTCTCCAAAGACTCAGAGGTGAACCTGAACGCGATCAACGTCTTTAAAAATATTGTATTTATTTATTTATTTTTGTCAAAAGCTTACAATATAACAGAAACAAGAATAAACATAAGATTAAATGCAAGAAATAGGAACTAATAATTGGGGACAATAGGACAGGAATGGTAGGCATGATTGTGCGCTTATGCACGCCCCTTACAGACCTCTTAGGAATGGGGTGAGGTCAGTAGAGGTTAGTTTGAGGGTAAAGGAGTGGGGGTTTGAGCAGGTGACAACAGAATCAGGTGGTGAGTTCCAGACATTGACCACTCTGTTGCTGAAATCATACTTCCTGAAATCGAGTTTGGAGTGATTTACATTAAGTTTATATCTATTGTGTGCTCTTGGGTTGTTGTTGTTAAAGCTGACATATTCATTAACTGGTAAGACATTGTAACATATGATTTTATGTACTATGCTTAAGTCCAATCTTAGTTGGCGTAGTTCAAGGTTGTCTAAGCCTAGAATCTCAAGTCTGGTGCTGTAGGGTATTCTGTTGTGAGCAGAGGAGTGTAGTACTCTTCTGGTAAAATACTTCTGGACTCGCTCAATTGTATTCATGTCTGATATACAGTGTGGATTCCAGAAAGCAGAGCTGAATTCAAGTATTGGTCTAGCAAAGGTTTTGAATGCCCTTGTTTGCAAAACAGTTTACCAGAGGAGAAGCTTCGTAAAATTAAATTTACAACTCTTAAAGCCTTTTTGGCAATACTGTTGCAAATAGGGAATATTGCTTTGTTGTTCCAGTTTCCACTTTGTGTACTGGGCACAGTTTACAAACAATGTTAACAATTTGTAGAAGTACTTCTAGATACCTGTATAATGCTTAGAAGAAGAAAAATAATATGGATATTCCTAGAATCTAGTGAATACACAATTCCCTTTCACGAATCTGAAGTGAAATTCTCACAGATAAATGTCTGGCCATTACTTTCGTTTTATTATTCGTTCCTGGGCTATTTAAAAAACAACAACTCAAAAGACAAGGAATTGGAACTATTTCACCTTCCAAGCTGTTGATGGGGCTCGTTGCTTGTGTGACTGTGTGGTCTTCCAAGGAATTTTTCTTTTTCTTGTAGAAAGCGACCTTAAAAATATCTTAAGTCTCAGTCAAATACATCTTTGGTGCTCACCTTAAACCTTTCAGTTTTAGCGCTTCTGAGCGAACGCCTTTGATCCAATTTGTGTTAAAATAATAACACAAGCAACTTCTGTACTGAGTGTCTTCCTCCCAACTCATAAAATCGCCAGAATTAGAATGAAGAATAGAATAGAATAGAATAGAATAGAATAGAATAGAATAGAATAGAATAGAATAGAATAGAATAGAATAGAATAGAAAACAGAGTTGGAAGGGACCTTGGAGGTCTTCTAGTCTAACCATCTGCTTAGGCAGGAAACCCTATACAATTTCAGACACATGGTTGTCCAATCTCTTCTTAAAATCTCTTCTTTCAGTGTTGGAGAATTCACAACTTCTGAAGGCAAGTTGTTCCACTAGTTAATTGTTCTCACCGACAGGAAATTCCAGTTTGCTTCTCTCCTTGATGAGTTTCCACCCATTGCTTCTTCTCCTGCCCTAAGGTGCTTTGGAGAATAGCTTGACTCCCTCTTCTTTGGGGCAGCCCCTGAGAGATTGGAACCCTGCTATCATGTCACCCCTAGTCCTTATTTTCCTAAAACTAGACATATCCAGTTCCAGCAACTGTTCTTTATATGTTTTAGCTTCCAGTCCCTTAACCATCTTTGTTGCTCATCTTTGCAGTCTTTCTAGAGTCTCAACATCTTTTTTTTCATCATGGTGACCAAAACTGGGTGCAGTATTATATAAGGCCTAACCAAGGCATTATATAATTCTATAAGCAAAGACAGAAGAGACAGTTCAAGGCTGCGGGTTGGAAAGGGAGCTTAAAATTCCGTATTACTGCAGAGGGATGTGTTTTTCCCTGCTTTTTCCCCCCACATTGCTGCTTCCATGCTCTTTATCTGCCAGTTAGAGAGTTTTATCAACAATAATTTGGCTTGCCAAGAATCATAATCCTTTATGACATCCCTCAGAAGTTCCGTGTCAGGCCTGATGCTTCTGTGCATCGTTCAGTGCAAACTGGGTCTGTTGTTATTATTGTTAGTTTTGCTTCACACCACCCACCGGGAAACATGGAAACTCGTAGCTTGCTGATTGCTTTGGTCCCCGTTTCTGAAAAGGACTTGCTTGTTTATTTCTGTTTGGTTGAAACAATTGATTCCTTGGGGGATGAGTTTCATAAGAATTCATAAGAATTGAATGGCTGGATGGATCCTTCCATGTACACACGGACCTTTTTTTTTTGGCAGTATTAGACAAATATCTGCTTAGCTATTTTAAATTCCGGTTTTCTGTTAAACTTTCTGTGAGTTAAGAATTTATTGAGGCAATGACTGGCAAAACCAGAGAGACATTCCCTTATCTTGTATAGGTAGTCAGATTAGCAGCATTTGGGAGGGATCTTGTAGGTCATCTAGTCCAACCCCCCCACCCAAGCAGGAGACCACACACCATTTCTGACAAATAGTCCTCGACCTACGACCACAATTGAGCCCACAATTTCTGTCATTAAAATGAGATATTTGTTCGGTTAGTTTGGTCCCATTTTACGACCTTCCTTTTTCCACCATGGTTAAGTGAATCAGTGCAGTTGTTCAGTTAGTAACTCAATTGTAGAGTGAATCTGGATTCTCTATTCACGTTCCTTGTCAGAAGATCGCAAAAGCGGATTATGTGACGCCGGGACACTACAACCGTCCTAAATATGAGTCAGTGGCCAAGCATCTGAATTCTGATAACATGACCATGGGGGTGCTGCAACCATCATAAGTGTGAAAAACAGTCATAAGTCACTTTTTGCAGTGTTGTTCAGAGGTGGTATTCAGCAGGTTCTGACCAGTTCTGGAGACCCAGTAGCGGAAATTTTGAGTAGTTCAGAGAACTAGCAAATACCGCCCTGTCCCCATCTATTCTCTGCCTCCCATTGAGTCCCAGCTGATCGGCTGGGTCTTCTTTTGTTGCCCTGCACAGGAGAACGGAGCTGGAAAGCAGGTTAGTGGGGTGGGGAGGGAATGGGGATTTTGCAGTAACCTTCCCCTGCCATGCCCACCAAGCAAAATAACAAAGTCAACTTAGGTAGAATGAATCCTAGCAGAAAACAAGAGGACTGTTACATTTGAAGTCCCATTTGAAGACCTTGTGTTATCATGTAACTTGCTTTAAAAATCTAATTTCTCAAGCAAAAGATTCATTTCTTCCTTCAGTTAAGTCAGATGAGGTTTCAGATAGACTTTACATTGAAAATTTTTAAAAAAGTCTAAAAAGAAACTTTTTCACCCTTTGACTTATCAGCAGATCCTAAAAATCTGTGTTGTTTTAATTCCATTTCCCCTTCATCCAATTACTTTGTTGTTTTTTTAGATGAGTCAGTAACTTCAGTATCTTAGACATATAGTTCATTTATTATTATTATTATTCTCTGCATGACAAATCTGCCCAAAAGTTGTTGGTTTTTTTTTCTCCCTTTCATTTGTTTTTCGTTTAATCCTTTTTCTCCTGGCGCCTTATTAGAAAGTGAAAAAATACCATTTTATTATGTATACTTTAATCATCTCTTTTATTGTTAACCTGCAGAAATCAATTGCCACAACAGACATAGCTAACTTGATCTGCTTAATGCAATTTACTGTTTCCTTTTTTTTCCAGCATCTGTAATTTGTACTATTTGTAGTTATAGTTGATTTTTTTGACAGACAGATAGGAGACAGACAGACAACCATCATGGACACACAGACACAGAACTCTTGAAAGCTCTGACTGGCAGAATTGTAACTGTCTATTCTTATCCTAAAGCATAGAACCAAAAGCTAATCTTCTCATTAACATGCTTCAATTAACAGTTAATCAGCATCTTCCAGCATGAATCTTCTACCCGAACCAGAAAAATAGAGTCCTGTTTCTGCTGCTGTAGAAAAATTGAACAAAATTGCATAGACTTTATGCTGTCAACCCCCCAAAAAATCATTTTCTCAAGATTTATCAAAGTAAACTGAATATCAGCAAACGTATTAACAAGCTAACTTAAGGGTTTCTTTTACTTTACTTTTTCCCCCACCAAAGATTTTTGTATATGATGTGTAAAATTTATTATATATTCACTCTAATGGATTTTCTTTTTTTCTTTTCCTGGGGGGACGGGGAAATCAGTATTTATTATGGATTTATTCAATTAATAGTGCATCTTTAATATCTGCAGAAAAGGAGGTGTTGCTTTAGAAAAGGAGCACTTGCTATCACCTGGTTATGCTAAAGAACAAAATGGACGAATGAAAAAAAAAAAAACATCCTTTTCTCACCCCTTATCTTTAATAATAATAGAAACTAGCCGTTTCTATAACAACAACAAGCCAAGTCTATAACAAACAAGGTTCCTCTCAATTTTCTCTGCATAAACCACTCCTGTGTTTGCTATGTTTAATACAGGAAGCGTTGAAGGAAAACCATAAAAGAAGAGAAATGGAGGAAAAGACTAAGAGAGCCAAACTTGCCAAAGAAAAAGCAGAACGTGAGAAGTTGGAACGGCAGAAGAAGAAAAAGCAGTTGATTGACATGAATAAAGGTAAGGCGATGTGGATGGAGCAAGATTTAATAGCTCAGTAAATTTGGCCTTCAGGAAGGGTATCGAAACTTGGTTCTGCTGGTTGGCCTGGGCCCGAGGGGCCACTGACCTCTGGAGGTGGATGACATGGTAAGAAGATTTCATCCCTGTACTATCCACCTCCTTGGTTCCAGTTTATTTGTTAATTTAGTACATTTTATTTATTAATTTTCTTCAATTGGCATATATAGTTTTTCATTAATTTATAATATGACATATAAAAAGAATACAAAAGCAAATATTAAGGAAATTAGGAAAGGAGAAAAGGAAGTGGATAGTGGGGAAAAGCAAGGGAAAATAAAGGCATTGACTTCCAACTCCTTTGATGCAGTAAAATAAGGCATTTAGATCTACCCTCAACTTTTTAACTTTTTCATAATAATAAAAACTGTCCGTTTCTATAACAACAAATTTATTTAATAGGTAAAACCCAAAATCAAAGTTTATTTTTTTTTCTACCTCAAGCACAAAGTCCAGAAGTGGTTTAATTTTATTAAATTAATTAAAAAACCTTAAGAAAGAAATGTTAATTTTATTTAATAAGAAAATGTATGCGATCGCCCAACACTCTCGGTGACTCTGGGCAGGGTTACAAGGATCACCACACCAATACAAAAACCAATAACCCCTTCCTCCCCTTGGTGACCAATGAGCCATTTGATGGGCTCCATCCCATCCTGAGGTGTCCAGGCCCATTAGCAAAGCTAAGTCTTCAGGCCCTTACAAAAAGTGTCAGAGTGTGGCCCAATCTTATCTCTCTGGGGATGATGTTCCCTGGGGACATATACAGTGGAGCCTCCGGTCACGACCGTAATCCGTTCCCAGATTCCTGTCATGACCCGATTTGGTCGTGTCCGGAAGCATGACCGACTGCACATGCGTACAATTAAAAAAATGTCGCCGAAGGGGAAATCGGTGCGGAAAGGGAATATTTTCGCACCTATTTTGTTCACCACCCAGTTTTTGAATCGTGACCTGATTCAAAAAGCAGGTGGATTTTGTGTTCGCCCCCCCAATTTGGTTGCGAACAGAAGTCTGTTAATATGTTCACTAAAAGCATAAAAAAATATGTTCACATAAAAGCATGAAAAGCATTTTCAATAAAAGCACTGTGAATCAGAATACAAGTCTAAGTGCAGTTCCTTCCTTCCTTCCTTCCTCCCTCCCTCCCTCCCTCCCTCCCTCCCTCCCTTTCTTCCTTCCTTCTTCCTTTCCTTCCTTCCCAGTGGTTAGAATGCAGTGTTGCAGGATAATTCTGCCCACTGTCAGCAGTTCAATCTTGACTGGCTCAAGGTTGACTCAGCCTTCTATCCTTTTGAGGTGGGTAAAATGAGGACCCAGATTGTTGGGGGCAAGAGGCTGACTCTGTAAACCGCTTAGAGAGGGCTGTAAAAGCACTGTGAATCAGAATGTAAGTCTAAGTGCAGTTGCTATTAGGAGCCCTGGTGGCACAGTGGTTCGAATGCAGTATTGCAGGCTAACTTTGCCCATAGCTTGGAGTTCGATCCTAACCGGCTCAAAGTTGACTCAGTGGGGTAAAATGAGGACCCAGATTGTTGGGGGAGGTAATAGGTTGACTCTGTAAACCACTTAAAGAGGGATGTAAAGCACTGTGAAGAGGTATATAGGTCTAAGTGCTATTGCTAATTCAGATCACAAGACAACTGGGTTTTTTTCCCCGCTCCACTTTGAATTATGGCAAGAGTATAAGAAATGTAAATTGCTCTTACGTACCTGGTAAATACAAATCCGCATTCAGTCCAATATGAATTTATAATCTTATGCATAACTAAGCCTATCTAACTATTCAGTTATGAAATTTCTTACGAGGTACATAAGTACGTAGAATGAAACCAGGGCCACCCACATAATAGCAACAGGCTTTAATGCAATAAATGTATTAGAAAACATTTTGATGCAAATATTACTTAATCAGAAACAATTTACATCTTCATTATCACTGATTACCATGGAAATTAAAATCACCTGTAAACTTAGTGGCATAAGAATAAAAGGAAGAATGAGCTGCCTCACTTACAATTAGTGTTGAATTAATTGTTTTGAAAGGTATATTAACATTCCCTTAATACAGATGAACATAATAGGGTGAGTTTATTATTGGGGATTGACGGCTATCTGGCATGTCAAGGAATTTCGCCTCGGAAAACACATTAGCATCCAAATAGCTAAATCCTAAGCCCATGTCTATTAATATTCAAAATTGCATTATGTGAATAGCTTCATTGTACTTCGTGCAGCAGAGTTAATTCTGTTCTCCTGATTAACAATCCAGGGGTAAAGAGACCCAATTGCTGTTAAAACGGATGAATCCATCGGTTTTAACTTCCCTTGACAGAACTAGGTAACTAATGCAGCTCTGAAATGTATGAAGTGTGGTTACAAGACTCTTTTATCTGACATCTAAATGCCTTTATCCTACACCAAAACCATCTGGTTTATAACAGTCCAGTGACCACATGTTTGGACATCCTTTGATTTCATTGATCATGATAATTGATTACAAGAGGGGGGGAAAAAGTCTTGAAACATCACGAGGACAGATGATTTTTTGATAGGGTGTTAAAACATGATTTCTGAAGGTAAGGTCACTCTGATCTGGATGGATGAAGGAACCATTCCATGCCACCACCATAGAGTCATTAAGATACCGAAGGATCTTGACAATACTTGAACATTGGGCGCTATCTAACAAACTGAAATTCAGTGGTGAAGAAAGTAAGGCTCTACATTTAGGCAAGAAAAGCAAAAGGCACAGATCCAGTATAGATGATACCTTGCTCAATAGTAGTAACTGTGAGAGGGATCTTGGAGTCCTAGTGGACAACCATTTAAATATGAGCCAGCCGTGTGCAGCAGATGCCAGAAAAGCCAACACAGTTCTAGGCTGCATAAACAGAGGGAGAGAATCAAGATCACATGAAGTGTTAATACCACTTTATAAGGATTTGGTAAAGTCACACTTGGAATACAGCATCCAGTTTTGGTCACCACAATGTAAAACAGATGTTGAGATTCTAGAAAGAGTGCAGAGAAGAGCAACAAAGATGATAAGGGGACTGGAGGCTAAAACATACAATGAACGGTTGCAGGAACTGGGCATGGCTGGTCTAGTAAAGAGAAGGACCAGGGGAGACATGATAGAGGTCTTCCAATATTTGAGGGGCTGCCACAGGGAGGAAGGGGTCAAGCTATTCTCCAAAGCACCTGAGGGCAGAACAAGAAGCAATGGGTGGAAACTAATCAAGGAGAGAAGCAACCTAGAATTAAGGAGAAATTTCCTGACAGTGAGAACAATTAATTGGTGGAACAACTTGCCTCCAGAAGTTGTAAATGCTCCAACACTGGAAGTTTTTAAGAAGAGATTGGATAACAATTTGACTGAAGTAATGTAATGTTTCCTGCCTAAGCTGGGGGTTAGACTAGAAGACCTCCAAAGTCCCTTCCAACTCTGTTATTTTGATCTCAGCTATCTTCATAAGACCAGGGCACAGTCTGAGCCTTTTTACTGAGTAGTGTGCCATACAAATATTGTTCATCTTGCTTTGTGCTCCACACACTGTGATCTTGTGAACGCTCTTCCCTTACGCAAAGTCCTTGAGATAATTGCTGTCTTCCTATATAATAAATTCTGTCTCTGTTCAACACCTTTTACTCCATACCTGTTTGTCTCCCACCTGTGAGGAACAAGTAGGGCTCAAAGTACTTAAAGGGACAAGGTCAGGATATAGAAACATTATAAAACATTGCTGCATATATCAAGGTTGTGGTCAAACCATCAAAAAGGAGAAAACACGTATTCAGTTCAGCGATGCACACGGATAATAAATGAGTTTAGGAGCACAGTGAGAAATCCACCAGGTGAGCATTGAAGCATATATAATAAGCATAGAAGCAGTAGATTGAGCATTGTCAGTGGAAGGCAGTAGAGACCACAATTGAGCCAAAAAGGTATGTTGTTAAGCAATGAGTTATGTAGAACAGAACATAGAATAATAGAGTTGGAAGGAACTTCGGAGGTCTTCTAATCCAACCCTTCGCTCAAGCAGGCAATCCTATATCATTTCAGACAAATGGATGTCCAGTGTCTTTAAAAGCCTCCAGTGATGGAACACCCACAACCTCTGAAGCCTATTCCATTGGTTAATTTCTCTCATCTTAGTTCTAGGTTGCTTCCCTCCTTGGTTAGTTTCCAACCATTGCTTCCTTTTGCCTTTTGGTGCTTTGAAAATAGTTTGACCTATTGTAGGCTCAAACTATTGTAGGAGCCCCTCAGATATTGGATCAGAGCTATCATGTCCCCACTAGCCTTCTTTTCATTCGACTAGACATGCCCAATTCCTGTAACTGTCCTTCATACATATTAGCCTCCAGCCCCCTGATCATTCTTGTTGCTCTTCTCTGCACTCTTTCCTAAGTGTAAACATCTTTTTTTTTGTATTGTAGTGATGAGAACGGGATGCAGTATACCAAGTGTGGTACTAAAACTTCACATGATCTTGATTCTATCTCTCTACTAATGCAGCCTAGGATTGCATTGGCTTTTTGAGCTGCTGCTTCACACTGTTGGCTCATGTTATAAAATATATATCATGTACACAGTATATATTCTTTTATTCTCTCTCTCTCTCTCTCCCCCTCTCTCCCTCCCTCCTTCTTTCTCTCTTTCTCTACACACACACACACACACACACACACACACACACACAATTCAGTTTTATTTAAGGGAAAAATAATGATGTCTGGTGCCACTCATTTCTTTGCCATGGGTGAAGCAAGAGAGGAGAATTATACATATTTCCCATCTATATATAAATCACTGAGTTCATTTCCTCATGGTACTGCATTCTTAAAAGCCACAGCATCTCTCTCAAACTGCGTTCATATGGTTAATTCTGCCAGATAGATATGACTACTTCTCGAATTGTTTTACAGATAATTCG